CTCCATCTTTGTAGTTGAACAGAAGATTAGACTGTAGTAAATTAATATAGTTTTTGCTGTTTAGATTTCTGTTAACTTTTCCTAAATATCTTCTACCATCACCTTTGATTCAACCCCACACCGTTATATGCCTACCACCAATTTTTACTTTTTGGTGTATCTTGCATTGTTTCTTTCTTCCACTGGTTATCTTACACATTCTCTTGCATTAGAATTTAACTCTATTTTGCATTCATCATTAAAAAAATTACTTTTCCAGCATCCCATGTTAGATGTTCTTTTGCCATTTCAGTCTTCTATTTCAATGTTTTTGTTCTCTGCTATATACAAGTTGTTTTTCCTAATACTCTGTGTACTATATTAACTGAACGTTCACTGTTAAGACTGCATTCACTCTTCACTTGTCTGGCTGTTGATTTTGGATTGCCTACCAAGACTCTCATAATGTTTCTTTCATCTCTCTTGTCTAACTTTTGTGGTCTTCCAGTTCTCTTTACACTTGAAATATTTCTGGTAATAACATATATCTTTTGGATGGTTTGAACACTGTTTCTGGAAATTCCCAACCACCTGACTAACTCTTGTTGAATCATCTTCCTTTTCAAATTCATAACCTTCATCTTTGTTTCAGCAGAAATTTTAGCTATGATTTTAGTGTGAAAAAGCAAGCTGATGTTCAACTATAATGACTTGCCAAGACAACTTACACTCCTATTAAATAAGATGGAACTATTCTTACTTAGAAATTTGCATATTATCATAACATTATCATCTCAGATCTTTCATTGGCCCAATAGTTTTGCATGACCCCTTTTCAGCTTCTGACTGCTTAAAGCAATGTATTTTTTATTACATGACACCTACTAAAATACAACAACTTATTTTCTAATCTTGAAAGTCCACTGCTGATAAAAGCTTACTGCTAAACAATCTTAACTTTTTAATAAAATAAATCATTTTATATAGTTTGCCCAAAAGTTTTGCATGTATGTCAGAGAATTTCTCTTAATGGCCATTACCTAATGGACATTCTATAAAGTAGTATAAAAGGAAAAGGCACAAAGTCTCTCTTTATTCTTTCTTTCTTCAATCACAAGATGACATAGTGGCAAGACATACATTGTTTCCTCTCCGAGTGTGCAGTTTCTTCACTCCTAAATGATCCATGTGTAGTACAATCTCCTATTCAAATGTGGAGGATTCCTAATATGCAACACAATCTCTTATTCAAAAGTGGAGTAATCCTATAATTGTCTGATGAGCAAAAGAATGTTTATGCTTCTGTTTCATGATTTTTAAGATTGATGTATGTATAAAGAACATATATCATTCTTTAAATTGTCACATAAAACAATTTAAATTGTAAAGATTAAGATAAAACTGAAAAACAAATATTTTGGCTGAATTTCTGGGATGAGGAGTTTTCATTATTTACAATACATTATGGTAATAACAACAAAGCTGAGGTCATTAGTTTGAATTTAAATAATACATTTTGGCATTCAATATTTGATCAAGCTAGAGATGTTGAATTTTGTTATTTTAATGTTTTTTTGTCATGTGATTTGATCATTTTTAGAAATCCTTCAGTTAGTATTATGAATAAACATCAAATACAAGTGATTCTGAAAGTTTTTTGGCCTGGCCCCCAAAAAAAATAGGGTTAAAAAATCTTATATGTAGTCAGTTTTGGGGAAGTGAGTTAATCCGAGAACTTTTCAGCACCTCCTGTATTTACCACATTTTGTTAATTTATAGTGATGCTCTCTCTCACTCTTTTTTTTTAGTGCATAATGAACTTTTTAAAAAGTTTTGTTAGCTGACCACATGTTTGTCTTTTGGGATTTCTTCTTTGGAATATTGAGATTGATGACTGTGTGAGATTGTTAGATCTGTAGTCTGTTTACATGGCCGTCAGACGAAGGATGCGGTGCCAAGTCAGGCGTTTCTTGGAGATTCTGTGGAGGAGGGGGCAAGTTCATAGAAATAAGGTAATCAGGCTGAAGTACAAGGCAACGTGCATCAGTGCAAGAGCATCATCACACTACATAAAACACAGCAACCCATTTGTGAATCAGAATAAGATCTAAGGGAGCTGTTACATTCTTCCTAAAATCAGATCTTCTGATTCATGCTGCACTAATTTCCATCACTGGTCGGATGTGAACACTTTAAACTCCCAAAATTGAACTAAAATTCCTTCAACGGCTCAAGACTTCGCACATACCTTTGTAGAGGACATGTGGGTTGTTGAATTAGAAACACGTGCTGTTTATTCCTGCTAGAAGGTCCAACTACAAGAAAATAGCAGACTCAAATTGAGTCCAACTGAAGATGTAAAGAAAACAAACAAGACCAATATATATATGTCAACAAATATATGTATTAAACAACAAATTTACAAGTGACAAAGACATCAACATTTGTGTTTGTGTGTGAACGTAAAGAGTTTGTATTTTGGTGAATGTTCGTACGTACGTGTATGTGTATTTCATGGTGTTTTCCCACAAGTGGGCGAAAACACTGATTTCTTCGAGAGATTAGATTTTTAAACGTGCCACTGAAATGCAAAGTAAAAAGAGAACAAGGCAAGAAGTTGCCCAGTAGTGTAGGGAGAGCGACCCCTAGTGAACAATTAGGGAATTAAGGAAGAGCTAACTCCGACACCTTCCACTCAAAGAAAAAAATAAGCAATGCAATCCAGAATTTTAACCCAATAGCACCCACTCCCGCCTAAAGAAAGGAAATAAAACCTGGAGCCGATTTGAGCCTAAGAAAAGTCATAAAAAGCCATCAAAGGGACATTTTCGGCAGTTGGACGTCATCTTGACCCGGGTTCACAGACTTCCATTTCCATGCGACAGCTTGTCAAAGACCGTCGCCCCTGTAAGTTACACCTCATCTTCCCTCTCCTCCCATAAACCCCTGCGGACGCCTCTTACAACTACACTTATCTCCTTTTTTCAACGAGGGACATTTACACCGATTTAAATAAAAACGCACCCCAAAATAGTGCTATTTACACTAGCTCTATTTTAAAAAGGCCCTTGGAATAAAGAGAGCTAATTAACAGAAATAAAATAATTATAAATTAAAATAACTAGGTCCACGATCATAGCCAACATTGGATTATTTTTTTTACCTCCTTGGGTCACGCATACCTCCCTCAGAACTACAGTTATTTATTTATTTTTTGTTTTAGATTTTTATTTTATTTTACTTGTTTAACAGGATATTGCAGTAAGGCCTGTAACACAGATTGGTTGTGGGCAAGTCATTTGATTGGTTGGTTTGCCTGGCGACAAATAGAAGTATTTAAAAAAGTCGGCTGCAGATGAGGGCTGAAGGGAAAGTAGAGAAAGAGAACGAAGAGAAAAAAAAGAAAGAAATCGGAATAGATAGGCGATAAACTCAAAGAGAGTATAAGGAGAAAAGGAAAAAGATATAAATGGCACTGTAGACAATTTTCTAGTCAAGTAGTAGGATAAAATAAAAATATGTTGACTGCTGTTTTACGTTGCACACATATTGTATACAAACAACAGTTTCTTTTTTTCAGTATTCTGACGTTTTTACATTTGTGATCCTCATCCAGTTGTAAGCTATAACTTTCTTTACCCATATGTTAGTTAATAATCGTCATTTTTATGACTTGGGTTTTTAAAATCAAAAAGGACAACAATGTAAAATAAATGAGTTAAAAAAGTTATCCAACCGTATAAGTTTTTCTTTGGAAATATTCACTTTTCTGAGCATGAAAGTCCTAAATTCTGGCAAGACTTTTTTCTTTTTCTGCCTTTATTTATTATTTTGATAATTTGCATAAGTGTAAGTCGGAACTGAATAAGTGTTACTCTTCTTCTCTGACCACTCTTACAAAATAATTGCTTAAACTTCTGAGAATTGCCATTGTTGTTATATTTTCATGATGATAGAAGACAGAAGAATATCAATCTAAAAAAATAATAACTACATGGAACTCATTAAATTAAAAAGGAACTACTAGAAACACAATGCCAGTTCAAGAAGATGAACAAATTTTGGAAGTGAGACCAGAATCGTTGGTTCAAAAAGTGACTTGGCATCATTACATGTTTTATGTAATACATGCATTTCAAAGCATTGCTACAGCTATCAGCACACCAGTTTTATCGCAGTATCTCTACTCTAGACTGAATCAAGAATATTTCGGCGAGCACAACATCACGTACATAAAAAATAACACATCTTGCCGCTCGCTTGGTCACTGCTACATCAACAAAACAACCGAGGAATACCACATCCAACAGAAAGTACAGGCCATCACAGCAGGATGGACAAAAACGTTTTCATACACCAGTGGCATCCCAGAAATATTGATTGTTTTGATTATTGGATCTTGGATGGATATTTTGGGACGTAAGATCATTGTTTCCATAAATATGATTGGACATATTATACGTTATATAACCTACGCTCTACTGATGAAATTTACTTTGCCAACAGAATTTCTTTTGTTAGGTTACATCGCTGAAGGACTTGCTGGCGGTTATCGGTTGAATATGCTGATTAGTTTTGCGTACACGGCGGATATTACCCCCAAAAACCATAAAAGAGCTTTGTTAATAGTTGCCAGCGAACACATTTTTGCTGCTTGTGGAGGGTTTGCGTCTGTTGGTGCTGGTTACTTTATTTGTCATGCTGGTTATTTTTGGCCCCTGATTCTTGGCATCGCTATTTTAATCTTGATGTTAATTTTATTCGTTACGATTGTCCCAGAAACTGTGACCAAAAGGAACTTCTCTGAACTCTCGCCCAAGATGACTTTCAAACGTCTGGTGAAATTTTACATATGTTCTGAAGAAAAACCTGAAAGAAACGAACACAAATTTTGGTTATGCCTGTTGGCATTTGCTACCTTGTCTTTGAGCGTAATTGGAGAATTTAGCATTGAAACGTTGTTTGTCCTCAATTCACCTTTTTGTTGGGACTCTGTGAAAATTGGTAACTTTAGTGCTGTTATGTCTTTTCTGAGTCCTGTCTTCACGTTGGTGATTTTCAAACTGATGCAGCGATGCATGACTCCAGAACTCATTGGAAGCACAACATTCTTGTTCTTCATAGCTCGGTGCTTCATCAAAGCCTTCGCCGTAAACGATTTTATGATTTACGTCTGTGAGTAGCTTTTTTTTAAAAATCATTTTATTTATATTTAAAACACTTTTAAAAAGCCATTAGTCGGCAGCATATTTTTATTTACAGACATTGATACTCATCGGATGATGACAATGGTTGTTTTGTTTATTTATTTATTTTTATTTTATTTATTTTTGAGAGTATAACAAACAGTAGTAACCGTACGGCATTCATCCCCTACCTAAATACGGAGTAAGTCTGCTTACTTAAACCAGCGGACTTACTGAACTTAGAGAATTACAAGAAAGAGGGGATGAATATGAATGCCATACGTTTTTTCTCTCTCAAAAATAATTTATTTTTTGAGAGAAAAACTGTAAAAACATTCACGCAACAAATATTTTCAATTTCAACATAATCTCTTTCTTTGTCAAATGTCAATGCATTTTAATTCAGTGACGATAACATAGATCGAACATTATTACACTTACAGTGAAAACTTTCGGATCAAAGTTCAGTGATTTTACATTTGGGTTATGAAGCGTTCGAGTGGGCACTTCGACGTGGTGTAAATGGCTTGTCTTGCTAAAGAAAAATTAATTATAACTGAATAGTGAATTCAATCCTCACTTGGTTCTCCATACTTTTGGCCTTGTGTCACATAAGCTACGCTTACTAAATCACTGAAGGTTTCACGGGTATTTATTGAGAGAGAGAGAGGTTTGTCGAGGGGTAACGGATAAAGAGATGAGAAGCTGGCTGGTGATATGGTTTTTACTTTTTAATTTTAAATTATTTTAATTTTACGATAAATAAGCATTCTGGTACACATTTAAAAAATGAACACTATGCAATATATAGTGAAATGAAATTTTAACATTTTTGTTTTTCATTGCTCTCTAATTAATACAAAGACTGTAGTGTGTAGTTTTAAAATTAAAAATAAATTTAAGTGTATTTTTACTCCCGATCTAGAATTTTTTTAGCCGAAAAAATAAAATTAAATATTTTTTTCTTTTTACCAATTACCGATATACGCACATCCTAACTGCGAGTAATTCTTTCATACCGTAATAACTAAATAAAATAAATAAATTTGATAAATTCATTTGACGAACTTAATTAAACGAGGTTCTATCGTCTAGACACCAATTGGTCCATTATTCCATTTGGCTCCTCTAAGCAGTTAATTTCGCTGCTTATTAATCTACCCTCTACGCACTAATGGTAACCTCTTCTCTCTCGCTTACAGTATTTATTTCTCAATCTTTTTAAGCAATGGCACACCTGAGAGCAAATAAAAATATGGCACACTTAGAAATTTTTTTAAAAGTGTATACATTTAAATGTTATGAAATAAAACCATTAAAAAATACACACACAAATGAACTTAGTTTATTTCAATGTTTCTATTCAACTATTTGTGCAGTTTACTACTTCCATACATGTGACAATATTTTGTGGCACATTTAAAGAGGATTGGGAAGCAGCTTAGTGTGCTGTTGCACAGCAGTCAAGAATCACTGGCTTAGCATAATTCTTGTCATAACAAAAAGCAAAATTACAGCTTAATTTGGTTGTTGGTTGTTGTGTGGGAACCTACCACCCCTCTTGAAGATGAACTCGTCTACAAACAAGGACGTAAAATAGTGGCATGTAAAAAGACAGTGTCGAAGAAGTTCTGAGCTGAGTTAGTTATAGACTACTCAGGCGATATCTGTACCAACTTACCAACCGAATAAACCCCATTTTATTGTTACATGTTATTTGGCGTTTGTCTTTATTAACCCCAAATTAACATCATAACATTGGTAATGTTAAATGGTCAAACTAGAATATTATCAAGATGATAGGTTAGATAATTTGGTCAATTCTTCCATATGCTTCAATTTACATCTCTAGCATATTAAGAAATGAAATAGTTTTTCTTTCTTAAAACTTAAAAGTAAAAATAACTAATTTTCATGAATTAAGAAATTAAACTAAGAAACAAAACATCTTAGTAAGGAAAGTGCAAGTACTACAAATCTAGAGTTTACTTTTTTTTTTATATTGTTTCCCTTTTTTCATCCATCCACGAAAAATTAACGCATTGGAATTGGTGTCTGTGAAATTATGAATTATACTAATTAATATTTATAAATATTCATATTAATATTTACATAAAAATGTGTTTCAATATGTAGTGGAGATAATTAATATTTAGCTTATTCTAAGCCAATGAGCAATAAAATGAAAGCACAAAAGATAGTAATTGACATTGCATTTAAATTTTTGCATATTAATGTTGGCTGGAAAGCATGGAGTTGGAAGAGTGTTCCACAAGACAGAAGTACAAGAAAATAAACTATTAGTATAGAACTTACGGATACATTTAGCCAACTCAACTGTAAAATGATTAGATCTTAATGCCAGTTTAGTGCTTAAATTAAAAAAAGTCTAGGTACCATAGTAAAGAGCTCATTTGAACAATTACTATGAAAGTATTTATAAAAATAAAGGCACAGAGAGGCAACCTTACAGCGGTGGGTAAGTGACTGAAACTGAACCTCCAGAGAAATTAAAATTGCTTATGAGTGGAGTGAAAGCACTAAACATTTTCAGAAAGAAGAAAATAAAATAATGGAAGTTAAGTAATAGGAGTAGATAGTTTATCATTCTGTTCACACTCCTCCTTGGTCTTTTGAACAGCAGTAGATGTTTAACTCTTGTTTCCTGCTTAGGATTAGATTTTTGGTTCCTCCTAACATTTTCTCATTCTCTTTCAGTAGCCCCTTGTATTTTAATGGTATTATTGCCTTGCTTGGTATGAACTGATTTTTAAAAAGAAGTGAAAAATAAAGAGAAAATGCAAGAGAGAAGTGAAGATTAGTGAAAGGAAAAATTATTGCCTTAAAAAATATTTCTTTTTTACCTTTTTTCTTGTTTCTTTGTATTTGATATTAGATGGAAGGCTTACTACAGTTGCCAAAACCTACAAACATTTTTTTCTCATTCACTGCAGCTGTTTATCTTAATATTTATTTTCTCCATTTACTTATGATTTACAAATATACAGAAACCTTGACTTCTGACCTTTCCAAGTCTTTCCATGTGTAAATCATGTCCAATCCTCATGTCTTCTATAGACAGCATTGAATTATGGGATATGACAGATTTAGTAACTAACTGGAAGATAAATTATTGTATAAAAAACATGGAAGATGTTAAAAGCATAACAAAATTTCACAAATGTTCATTTCAAACTACTTTAATCTAAAGTAAAACTGACAGGTAGTATTAAGTTGATTAGTTTTCATCATTACCTGAGGACAGTTTAAACAGTTACAGGACAGTTTAATATGATACTGTAACACTGACCTATTTATATGTTACCTGACTTTTAAACATACAAATTCATAAGATCTTCAATAAGCTCTATTTTTTTTTTTAAATTCTATGTTTTTAAACACAAAGTAATTATCTTTAGGTGTGGGACAAAATGGCCCAATATTACAAACAAGAGATATTTTACAGATATTAACAGATATTTTCTTGAAATTAATATATGCCATTAGAATTGAAAGAGTTAAAACCCTGAAGTTTAATCAATAAGGTATAGCAACAAAGTAACTATTGACCTAAACTGGTTTCTCTGAATGTACTCATGTTAAAGTTGCTAAAAAATGTGATTTTCTCTAACAAACATATTCTTCTTGACTGTGTGCCACTCCCACCCATAGACATATTACTTAATCCAGGCAGTTCAGCTATCAGACAAATAACAGAACAAAATAAACTGGGATAATTGTTAAGAAATAAAAAGAATGCCTTAAAGAAAAGATCAAGACAAGATTAAACAGTCTATTTATTTCTTTTGGACACAAAATGATTGAAGAAGAAAAATTAAGAATTCAAAAAAGATTGGGTGAATGTTTTAAATATTTACATTTAAATATTTTGGCCCTATAGTAATTATTTAGTAGATTGAAAACAGAGTGCATTCAGTGTACATTTTGAACCTGTAATATGGGTTGACACATATTTCATTACAATAAATTCTTTGCTCAGGTTTCCGTTATTGTTTACAACGTGGACAGACAGAAATTCCATTTTTACAATGAATTATTTTTTGTTAATTTTTCAGTATATATAAAATGTTTTATTGTATTATCATTCTACATTTATAAATACATATCTCCTTTTCAGCATTCACAAATTTAAAAGATTTCATGGCGCAAACAAAACTTTTTCAAGTAAAAGATGAGAGCCAAATACAATTTGCTCTAAACAAGATATAATTTTTATTCTTATAATAATTAATGATTTTATTTTAGCTGATTTTTAAGTATATGCTTTAGATTAAGATCTTGAATTTTTTACAGGTTAAGTTAGCAATTTAAAAAAAAAAATCAATTCATGAGAAAATTTGTATTTTTCCTATCTATCCTTGTATAAGTGTGCCACTCCCGCCCATAGACATATTACATATTACATATGTATAGTTTTTATCCACATCTCTACATGATACAAAATATGACAGTATTTTCAATGTGGAAACTTACCCAAAATATCTCTTGTAACTTTTTTCAATGTGGAAACTTACCCAAAATGTCTCTTGTAACTTTTTATTAATGATAAATATCAGAGAATGCTCTAACACTCCTTTATAAGTAAAATAGGAGTTACCATCTTAGAGATAAATCACCAGTGCCCAGGTAAATATATTTATAACTTTCATTCCAAAGTGAGATCCAAATTCTTGATATAAACAAGATTCAAGGCTCAGAAAAAATGTGAACAAAACATACTAGAGTTGAGCTTAGGTTCAAATTTGAATGATAGATGGTAAAAGACATTCTTGGGTATCTATAGGAATTCATTTTGTTAGTTGGCAATCACTTCAGTAATACATACCTGTGCAAAAAGATGGAAAACATTGGTGATCAGCAAAAATAAACTACTCTCTTGTATTGATTTTGTCACCATCACGCCAAGTATGACTTAAAAAAACAAAGCTAATAAACTAATATATATGTGCACATACATAGGGGGTGAAT